ACGGTAGATAGGTGGGATGGTGACGAGTAATCCGCACTAGTGATTGGGGCGCCATCCTGTTGTGGCGCCGCTTGAGAGGAAGCTGTGCGCACATTTCCATTTTAAAAAAAACATAAGAGTCCCTGCCTCCGTCTAAAAAGCATCTCAGAAAAAAAAAATACTCACCTTCATCTAAAAAGATGTTTTGTACTTCCGTTGAATTTCCATAACAGATCAGATGTTTTTGGAAAGAAAATCATTTCAGTGTCTCAAACAGTGTTATATGTTTTGACTTGAACTTTTGTGGTAGGTAGATACTAGTATACGTTTTGTCTGCGCTCCAACTTTTATCAGCAACTTCCCCGCAAAATGCAAAGAAACTTTTACCAGCAACTTTTGACTACTAGACGAGGGTGCCAAGCAGGAATGCTTGGCGAATGTTGTCCTCAAACAGCTTTGTTTGACAAACGCCGATAGATACAAACTTTGTCACGACCATCTCTGTCACCAGGCTGAATAAAAGAAGCGTGGCAGCCCGTCCACATTTCACACACGATAGCAAGACTTTTCGAGACGGTGTGGTGATCAAGAAAAGCGATGACCGGTCCATGTCCAACACTGGCAACGTTTACTCATTTGGATACGGGCATAACTTCTCCTGACGTGATTAAACTAATAACGGTGAACATTTGCGACACGCGGCCGGCATGATTTTTTTCTTTTGCGGGTGGCATGATTTAAAGTTAAAATACCACTCCCTTCCTCCGTCCCAAAATAATAGTCGCTCCGTTTGCAGTACATCTATTTGATCGACAGGTTTATGTTGAAACTCACCCTCAGTCACCCTCAGGATCAATCACATCATATTCCGAACGTCCGTGCCATAAAAAACTGATAGCTGAAGATATGTCTCGTACACTTGATTTTCTTTATTTCTAGGACACCAATAGCATGACACAAACTCTTTTACTAACTCAAGATTACCTGGCAGTCTAACCATGATCAGTTTGTGACTGTACACGCACAACAGCCAGCGTGAGCTCATCTCATTCATAGCTGCTAGAAAAATTTTATGTTATACTAGTACCTTGTGCCAGGAGGTCACATGCATCAAATAGGTCCATACGTCTAAAAACATTGCCGTCCTTAATAATACTCCCTCCACAACTATTCCCTTCGTCTCATAATACAAGATCATTTTTCGAGCTATGTTAGCTTGAAAAACTATCTTATATTATGGGACGGAGGCATTCTAATTTAAATCGGATGTATCGGATGTTCTAACATTTTTCTGAATCGAATTTATATAGACATTTTCTAGTGCTTTTATTCACTCATTTCAATCTGTATGTGGTTCATACTAAGATATCCAGCACATCCTGTGATGCATGCAAAGAAAGAAAACGTTCGGTCATTATTATACGCAAAGGAGCGACCAAGTCTGAATCTTGACGCCAGTGAAGCTGTCCATAGTCATGCCCAATTGTCGCCGTGTGCAGCCGCACATTTCTCTAGATACACCTGGTACGTATGTTCTCCTCAAACACCATGCATGCTCGGCGAATTCAGCTAGGTAGGAACTGAAATTTCATATGGCGGCCACAAGCCTGCAACAAAGCAGACTGTCATTGAAGCAGTTTCCCACCCATCCAATGGAATGCAATGGACAGGAGATGACAACAATTAGCAACCAAGAAATAAGGCATCATCAAGACATCTCATCCATAAAATTTGAAGATGCAGGGAAGCAATGCTGCGTGGCCACGACATCCAGAAGTATAACCAAAATTTTGATCAAAATACCAGTAGTGTATGCTTCAGCGTCGTTGCGGTGTAGATATTGCTCCCACGATCACGAGAGATCATCAGGCGGATATGTGGAACAGCTTTCCAGCTCTCACCAAGGGCAGGCTTTGGAGCTCCGTTCCCGGCGACCATATGATTCGTTACCTAGAGTAACACAAAATGGTTGGTTGATGGATAGATATGGTAACTGCATTGTTTTTGTTTCACATCTGACCGAAATTCAAAAATTCTAACATCTAAACCTAATAATCCGTGAATGCTTGCAGGTAGTCAATTGAGAAAATTCGAAGTGCAAGGCTTTCTTCTTTGATAAGATACAATTACAAGATTTTTCACTATTCTCTCCAACGATTATGGCTCTCACTGGGGACATGAAACCTGACAGACAGGTAAATTCAGGGACTGCAGCTTAATATAAAACAGAATATGTACATAGACAAATAAATCCTACTCAACAATTTACCCACAAACTACCCTCTGATAAAGTAAACAGAAAAAAATTAACAGATGAAATGAGACTTCTCCACATCTTGTTCTCCAATAAGATGGCATACTTAATTACTAAATAGAATTGGTTATTACAAACAAGAAATACTAAAAGAAAAAAGGCTAGTTGAACAACAGTCGAACATGCTTCTTGATTTTCTCCAGGAGATTCATGGTGACACTGAATAAAGTATGGGTGGCTTTCACAAAAAAAAAAGGTATAACGATGCTTCATCTGAGACTAAGTGATAAAAAGTTGAATCCATGTGTTCGCTCCAAATATCAGAACTATGCTCAAATCGAAATGGATGACTACCAATCAAGTTAGAGCAGGCGGAATTACCAGAACAGATAGATTGTGCTTATGTGCCAACTTCTTAAGAATCATCGCCACTGATATCATCATCGACCGCCCTGCTGGGTTTAATACAAGTTCACAGAAAAGAAACAGCATTTCTTTTAGTTCAGGTTACACTTCAAAGAAGTAATGATGCCCCTCTCAACAAGCAATCAAGTCAGCAAATAATGTTTTTAGAACTCAAATTATTGACAAAGACCCAGTGAACTATTATAAATTCAAATTATCAATGCCAGGCTGCATATTTGTGAATTAGTTGTGCTGTGTTGTTTAAGTTAATGATTGGAAACAATCTATCTTGCACAATCTGATCGCTACACCAATTTTCTACATTTCGCAACTCAAGAAATTGTATATGTTATGTCTCTCTTGGGACATTGACCCTTAAGACGTGAGTTAGTTCTAGTATAGCTAAAGTGCTAAACTGCATCATATAATGTACAAAAGAATAATTAATCAGACAAGGCTATGCAAGAACCTTGTGAATTCTTCCCGCCGATAATGGGAGCAAGTAGAGATGATACCGAGTCAATGATAAGCAGGCATATCCTGTTACTGCCATTAGTTACCTATTAAGCTTGTGACATGTGAGAAAAGAGTTTAGGATAATAAAAAGGGAGATTGAAGACAATCCTATATCCCTTCATACTAACCTTGCCATTCAATGAGACTTCAAGTCGATCTAGTACTTCAAACAAAGCAAATATATCAAATACAGACTCACAAATGATACTGCTCATGACCCTCTTAAGCCTCACATCCTTTGGCTGCATGTTGGAAATCGGGTGCTTAGAAATCACATGGTCAAGAAGTTTCTGGGTAATCTAATGATTGCCAAAGTAAATGCCATTCTACTTACACCACAAGAATGGAAAAAGATATGATAACTCCCTGAAGAGTGAAGACAATAGGTAGGAGCAGGGCAGGAACATGGATCCCTGGTTTATTACTAACCTCTTTGATCAAAGAGATGGGAAGTTCATCAAGAATATGAGCAATTCGGGTAGGGGAGAATGAATTACTAGTATCCAAGTAGAGAACAACACCCATGTGCCTAGCTGCAACATGTGCAGCAGAATATAGACAGACCTGCAGTTGTTGTGCATAAGTACATGGAGTAAATAACAGCTTATGCATGATAAGTAACTCTGCAGTTTTTCGATGGCACAATGTTCACAATCACAGGTAAGCACATTAGCCATCTTGAAGTTGAGAAAGCTCAATCATGTTATCACCTGCGTTTTACCAGAAGATGACTGGCCGGTTATTTCTGTCAACTGGCCTTTGCGCAGCCCACCTCCAAGAAGCGTGTCAATGCTGGGAATTCAGGACATGATAAATTACAATATATTCCACTACTTGCTAAGACTGTGTGATTTTCTGCATGATGATGGGGAGGTTCTCTCGACAGAGATCAGCTGCTCATTCGAGGTTCATGACACGGGGCA